GGAGGTCTGAAGGAGGTGCTACCGAGCTCGGGGTACATGTACCTGATTCCCAGAATGCACTAGAAGCGACCATGAAGTCTAAACAAGCTTATGTGAAGCGCCAACTAACCACCAACATAGTCAGCAGAAACATGATCTGGAGGAGGAAGTATGAAAGTTGAAGAAAGGTATCTGAGGATTCATTAGGATTCTTGAAGCAGAGTTTCGTTCATAAGCAGCTGGAGAAAATGGTGTAGTAGCTGGCACCACTAGTAGTCTAAGTGCAAGGGGACGCACAGACTCGCTTGACTGAATGACCAACAGTATCGACGAAGAAGAGTTCAGTTGACTGGAGAAGCTGGTTCACGAGGGGGAGACATCTAGAAATATACATAGTGTGGAACACAAATTCTTGTCCCAACAAGAGTTCTGGAAGGAAGTACAGTATATCAACATTAGGAGTAGATCGCAGCCCACGTGCGGGCGATCAGTCAGGGAGCGATGTATTCTTGATGGGACATAAGTCGAGAGTATGAAGAGAACGCGATTTGTGTTAGACGTAGTTCAGGGTTGTCATTAGCAAAGTCTTGTGGAGATACGAGTAAGAACATTGGGATCTTTTTCACCTCGAAAGTGTTCAATTGTTGAGCTGCAATCGTGATGAGTACTGAATGAAGGTGGAATTAGACAACATAAAACCTTGACTGGTGCGAACACTCTTGAAATTAGCCAAGTATTCGCCCATGAGCGTCAAAATTGTCTGATATACCAGGAGAATCTCCGAAGGTTTTGCCTCGGCTTGTAACGGAGAGATACACAGCTCGGTAAAGAATCGAAATTCTAGCATTCTGGTGTTGCAACTGTGTATGGCTGATGGGAAATCTTAACTGAATAGGTAGCAGAGAGCACTTCGTGAATCTGCTTTCTCGTATAACAGCAGCTTGCTTTGGTAATCTGCTCACTACAAACAATGTCCCTTGGGCTTTGAATGTTCAAAGAATATTTGTCTATATATGGAGATGTTTGGAAGAAACTGGAGCTGAAAGGAAGGCGAGAGATTATGTTCGTCACTTGAACAGCACAGGCTGAACTATATCAATCTCACGGATCTCACTCGTTCAATTCGCTGTTCCTCCGCCCTCTGGAAAGTGTAGAAGAAGGTCCTAATGACTCTGACTTTGCTGGGACTTTGATTCACATCCTTTCATGCTGTGCCGATGGCATCGGTCGGTCGGAGAAGAAAGGCATATTTACGGGTAAGTCTGGTACCACCTCGCAGTGCAGATTTAAGAGAAGACGAATGGGTCTCGAGGATCAGCCTCCCTTGCACTAGTCTCCGTCTACTTTTCGATGACTTGAACACAAATTGCGAGCTTATTGAGAACAAAGGAACAGGATTGATTACTTATCTGGACTACAACTGGAAACGCAGATGCCTGGCCGGCTAAGCTCCAGAACTTCACGTCGAGCAAGCCAGCAGCTGCAGCGGCTTTGACAAGATTAGTGGGAAACCGCTTGCGAATTGGAAATCGTCAAGCCATTTTAAGCCTTCGGGCCTTCGGGGCCACTCGGGTCGCTTACTCCGTGCTTTGGGCCCTTCGGGGTCGGGTCGAGCCTTACAAGCCTGCCTCACAGGTCCTAAGTGAATCGGCATCTAGTATGTCGACTGTCCAGAACAGGGACCTATCACAAGTGCTTCAGATACTGAGAGTGAGAGACTGCAGGATACACCATCACCAGTGCTGCAAATCTGATCAATCTGATGAGACGAATATTTTCTCAGGAGCAGGTCTAAGAGCAAAATATATAGTGGAGCATGTGGTGACTGATGGAGAATCAAGGTCTTGCAGTGTGCCAATCGACCAGAAAAAACTGACATGTAAGCGATGCCTCGAGTGATGATGAATGTACGTAATATATCCCATCGGAACGGAGCTGATGCTCGTGAATGTGACCGCATTCGACATCGACACGAAGGCGAAGAGAGAGTCTGTCTCACTTCGTAGCCACACACGAAAATTTCCGGCATGCCTACGATTTACTGTTTCCTTATACAGTCTGAGGGCGTGGAGATGAATATAGGAACGGAAGTTGGATCGAAAGAAGGCCAATCACAGACGATGACGAATGAAAGCCATGGTCATATCTTACCTGCTGCTAGGTCGAAAGCCTCAGGACCTCCAGGACCGATTGCATCAGACCACCAGCACAAGATGCAGTGCCCATGACGGCCGTACCTCAAGATCACTGCCACTCTTTTACGGGCGAGATCAAGAAAGCTAGGTCAGATTTACGCTTCCCAGGCATCGGGAGGCACAGCATCTACTCGAAGACTTGGGTTCCGTCATGTAACACCAGGATTTCAACTTGACAGAAACATAGGAGTGGTCAGCGGACTGTCGGACTGCGACAGAAACAGGAATTTCCAGAATCTCGTTCTGAGACAGCTGCCGTGGACGTGAGTACGCATTCTTCCGAAGCAGCAGCAGTGCAAGTGCATACAGCGGGGCCATCGGGTGTTCACGTTGCATGCAGTCATGCCTGAAGGTTCAGTGCTAACCGGAAGGCAGACATCATCTTAATAAGTCATGCGAATGCAAGAAACTCTTTCGTTTCCAGTAAGATAATAATGCCCACGCCATGATATTTTATGCAGGGGGCTAATTATATAAAAACCATGCCTTGGCCACATTCCAACCATCGAGGAACAGCTGCCACAACCAACACACCACGACCTGGACCTCAAGTCTCTCTCTCTCTGCGAAGGACCAGGGAAAGCGAACAGTACTTGTCAAAACATGCACTGCCTGTAGTAATTGCCTCCTGAGCACTTGTCATCAGATGAGCATCAAATGATAAAACCTCTCATGAGTTGACAGCATCGTTTGACCAGGTCCGGTGTCTCTGCAGGGAATGTGCTATAGCAATCGAATTTCTTTCAAAGCATGTACCCTCTTTTCTTTCAGACCTAGATCCGTTTGAATGTCAAAGATACGAATATTTTATCAGAGGGTAGAGACCATTTGACAAGGTATGCCACTCGGGTTGAGAATCGTCTCCATAGTACAATTCGCGATGGAATAACAAGCTTTATTTGAATGTTCCTGATGAATCGATAAATATGTTCAGATGTTTCTAGAAAAGAAACTGAATCCGCTATCATCTTGGCCATGGCCCTCTGCTTCTCACCTGTCGTCACCTGCACTATGGTAGTGGCATCGACGACCAGGACACATTGTCATGGTCTTCAGGAATCGCAGTTCTCTCTTGAAAGCTTTAAAAGTGGCGCTCATGGATGAAAATTCATGCCTGTCTCACAAAGTTGATCAATCTGATCTTCTCTTGTCGAAGGCTCTTAGATACCCACTTCATACGCACCTCAACGTTGACTATGATAAAGCCATCACCAAGAGGACCTTGTACAGGATTCACAGGCTTTTTCTAGAATCCGTAATCATAGTAGCGGTTATGATGGATTCCTACACCCGGATAAGTGAAAGCCATGTGCTTTGTTTTGGAGTGTTGGAGAGTGAACACTAACTGGCGAGTAAGGAGACGATTTTGGCGCAATCTACCTGACTGTAGCCATCAGTCTTGACCTTCATGCAAGATAACACCAGATTTCGATCATGTCTGCCACCGTGTAGGGGCGATGATGGATTTGACAATTGTTCTGTAGATGTCAAAGCCATGTGCTATCCGATGAGTTTTTAGTGACGAGGGATGTGGGACACAACTCCTGGTGCAAGCCACTAGATTGTAGCAATCAGGCTTCACCTTCAAGGAGGAGCTGACAAATAACGGTTGGATTCTGAGACAACTATCGCTGCCATATACTGTGATTGTAGCGATCAGTTTCGACCTTCATCGCGAGGTGATACAAGATTTCATAGAACGTCTGACGATGAGTGATCGCTTAGCGTGAATTTCCCGACCTACAAACGGAAGCGCTCGTTTAAAGAAAGAGCCTGTCCTGCACATTCTCAACCATTGCAATGACGGAATACTCAATACACTCGGGGTGTGGAAATGATCGAAAACATTCTTTTGGCTCGGGTTTTCATGAGCCAAAAGTTTGAGTTCTGGCTTGCAGAAATCACCATCCATCCGAGAAGTCGATGACAAAGGAGAGCAGTCGTTTCGCACGAGAGCGATTTAAAAAGAAGTTCACAGTTACGTGCTTGTTTGATGATGTTTGAAACTCCAACCCTGAGATCTGCCAACTTGGTAGACCCGTGGATCAACTGCGGAAATTCACCAGTAGGCGAGGCTCGAAGACAAATCACAAGGCTATGATAATGCAGCGGAATGAACGAAGAGAAAATCAGAGCAAGTGCACATGTCGGCCCATTCGGAGCAAACAGAGGGAGAGAACCAGAGACTAGCTGAGTACTCCTCTGACCAACGAAGAAGAAGCTGTGAAAGCGTGGATCTCAAGACATACAACATATTTCCTACGAATTGCGAGTGCTTGTAGACCTGGAAACTCAACGAAAGGCCACTTGTTTATACCAAGCGATGGTTGACTTCGGGTGGCCTGACAAGGCGGACTTTTGGGTATGCGGCTTGAGGGCCATGGACTGACTTGTTCAAATGAATGAGTACATGTAGTGTCCTCTTCGACTCTCCCTGTCTGTCGCTTACAAATCGTGCCCAGTTTCTGTGCAAGAGATGGCCCTGAATCAGCATCAAGCACACACGAGGCGGAGCTCCTGAGCCGCTGGATTGTGGATCCAAAGGATGGCCACAACTGTAGTTTCTTCTGCAGCACCTGATTTTCTAACAGGGCAGAAGTTGCCGGACTGGCAAATTTGGGCCGTAACACATGTTCGGTTGAGTTCGCTCACTTATGTCCGGGCCCAGCTGCAGGATGCTGCTGGATTAAAGGAAACGCCCGTGAGAATTACCCGAGCGCGAGGAATCTAACAAGTGTCCCGGGTAGTGATTCTAGATGCGGACCAGCAGTGGAACGAGAGGAATCTTCAGATCCTCAACTTCGGGAGAAAAAAACATAAAATATTTCTCGCAATTCCATCGTCGCCACAGGGATGCGGAATGACAGTATTGATCGATTTAGTTTATTTCTCGTGTACGGATGGGAGCTACTATAAGAAGCAGTGGGACAAGCTTCCAATCATCAACTCACATTAGCTTTCTCTAGATCTTCTCCCCAGCAGCAGCCTAAGGCAATCCTCCAGATCCGCCCAAGGCAGCTGCTTAACCTCACGGTGAGTACAGCACTGGATTCTTTCTGCCATCATCTGCTTGCATTCTTGACATCATCAGAATATTGGTTCGAATGAATTGTGTCTTCTGAAGTACTAGTAGTCGTACTTCCGAGGACGTTCACTTTTTCCAGGATTTTCCGTTTCTGGTTTGGTAGGAAATGAGGACCTCCACCAATGATTGTGCATGCATTCTGATGCTCCGAGCAGGCTTTGTTTCTGACGATGCTTCTGTAATGTACAGAATTAATTTAGTGCATAACTGCAACAATGGCGGCCAAACTGTCATCCTCTGTGCTCCTCTTCATCGGATTGGCAGTGCTTTATGCTGCCATAGCCGATGCCCAGCTTTCTGAAAGCTTCTACTCGAAGTCTTGTCCGGGAGGTGTGGCAGCGGTGGCGAACGTCGTCAACACTGCTGTTCGCAACGACAGGCGAAACGCTGCTGGTCTTCTCCGTCTGCATTTCCATGATTGCTTCGTCAGGGTAGGATATATTCTCTTGTCGCTCACTCATTCTAAGTCCACACTCGAGCGCAGCTTGAATTGTTCCATAGCTTGTTCCAGGCATGGAACAAGCTAGTCATAACCAATAAAACAGTTTCCAAGTTCAAGATTTATAAGTTGTAATAACTAAATTGAATCTGATTCTCTGCAGGGATGCGATGCATCTGTACTCTTGTTCTCAACCGCTAGTAGCAAGGCAGAGAAAGACGCCCCCCCAAATCTATCACTGCAAGGATTCAGCATCATCGATCAAGCGAAAGCTGCACTTGAGAAGACTTGTCCCGGTGTTTTCTCTTGCTCTGACATTCTCGCCCTGGCTGCAAGAGATGCCATCTCTGTCGTAAGTTCTTCATTTTCTGCTCTCCGTGGTTTCTTACCAGTTATTCAATTTGGATTATTACTCCGCTGTACGAAGATTGACAACAATTCACTATTGTATAAAATTCTTGATTCTACCCCGTAGGCAGACTACAATTGAATATACACTTGGAGTCCCGGCAGTAATCTCCTGCAATATCCAGGAGCTAGATACTACCAGTCCGCTGCAAACTTTTTGATGACTGCTTTGATTTTATGAAAAGCTTAGACGGTTTTCAAAACTTTTACCATCGGACCAAATTGACCACGAAAACTCCTGATTTACAATGCAGATTGGAGGGCCACAGTGGAAGGTTCCCTTGGGACGCAGGGATGGAGTGGTGTCACTCGCAACTGAAGCCAACTCGAACCTTCCCAGTGACAAATCTAGCTTCAGTGGCCTCGTGAGCAACTTCGCCAAGAAGGGTCTATCTGAGTCAGACATGGTTGTCTTGTCAGGTAAGAACACGTCAGAATGATGTCTTCCATCGCCGATGACCGACCACTGAGTTCCTGGAGTTTTATGTCGGATTTTGGTCCATACTCGTTCACATATTGATCGAGTTATATTTATGACATTGCAGGTGCTCACACCATCGGACTTACAGTCTGCAAGTCCGTGACTCCCCGCATCTACAACTTCGCCGGTAGCGTGAACGGTGCCGATCCTTACCTGAACAGCACTTTCGTCACTGAGAAGAGAGGACTGTGCCCCAACAACAAGAGCTCGGCCAACAAGTTCATCGCCATCGATTCCACCAAGGGAGGACAGAGCTTCGACAAGAACTACTACAGCAACGTATTCGCTCACAAGGCGATCTTCAAGTCCGATGATGCTCTCATCTCCACCTCCAGCGGTCGCACCAAGGTGCTCGACATCATCAGGTCCCCACAATCCAAGTTTTTCTCTCAGTTTGGACTTGCCATGGAGAAGATGGGCAGGATCGGTGTTTTGACTGGCTCCCAAGGACAGATTCGCAAGACTTGCTCGAAGAAGAACTAGAGTTAGCCTCAGCCATTGAACACTCTGTAGTTTTAGCCTGTAGCCATCTAGTTTAGTAGTAGGTTTAAACTTCACTCAAGTTGCAACGTGAACAATAACTGATTCACAGTGTTTGGAATCATCTGAAACATCACATCTGCACAACATTAAGTAATCGGCAATGCTAGGTAGTCATGGTAGTCATCAGCAATCAGTAGTTTCCGAGAAAGGCTTAACTTTTGGATCCTCTTGGTCGATGTCTACGTACTTAATTATTCGCTCAGGACTTAGGTAGGAGCATAAAGAGTTTTTTGCGACTCTCTTGAATCTAGTTAGCTTGAAAACCATAAAGATAACGTCACTCTATATTCAGGGTTTCGCTCGCATATGCTTACGATGCATATGAGCAGAACAACCTGCCATTCTTTGCTTCGATTACTTTTAGAATCGAAGCCCCCCATTCTTTATCATTGAACAGTCAATGATTACAGTAAAAGAGTATATTCTCGAAATCAATGCGTAAGCTTTTTGCAGTTTCATCGTCTTGAGTGTTTTTGCGGTTAAAATTTGAGTAGGGGTCACACTCTTCAAACTCTGGAGGTCGATGGTCTGGAGAGCGGCTTCATCTTCAGCAACTTGGGTCAAGAAGATGTAGACAAAGGTCAGCGAATCTGTTACTTCTGCTTTCCTTTGGCAGCTGGATCCATGGGCTATATCTGCAGTCCATATTCATATCAACGAAACTGGGCTGCCTCAGATGTCAGTGACTTGCAGCTTTGCTGCTTTCCGGGGACATGACAGGACACCAGGGTGGGATTTTTCTTGGGGCCATGATGTTCACGCGCAGGCTTCGTATAGCTCAATTTTTGCTTCTGTTAGAACGGAAAAGTGAGAGTCGAGGAGTCTAATTCTCTGATATTCCACCATATTTCCACAATGCCTGAGACAACCTTCCCGTGCGGTATCTAGTGCATTGTTCAATGCTGTCTCCAGTCGAATGAAGGTGAGACAATTATATGCATGCAATAACCGATATCTAGTTCATGAATTTATTGATAGCTTCAGATTCGTCATCTAATTTGCAGCTTTTATCACAGGGTTATATGAACGTACTGTAATCTGCTTTCATCCTTAAGTCTCACTCTATCCTCATTTGTTCCATCTAGATAATGGAACAAATGACATGAAATTGTGACATGGTTTAGTAGGATTGTCTGTGCGGCTTCAGGAAATTTAATTCTCATCAACGGTGATTGATTTCTGCTGAAAACAACCAATGGCTACTCTAATAACTGTTCGTTTGACTTCACCAAGCTGCAATGTATATCACCTTCTTAGAGCTTGCTCTGTTGCATACTTGTCCCACAGTGAATGCCACTCCAGTCAATGCCAGTGTTGCTCGGATCTACAGTCAAGAGCTAACGGGATATTCCTGTGTACATTCACAGCGCCTCGAATTTTGATCATCTGGATTCTATCACCATGGAAGTGGGTAGAATCCGGCTCATCTCACAAAATCCTAGCCTGGCTGATCATTTTCCGTGCTTGATGACTAGTGCAAGATTCTCTCTTCAAATGTCGAGTATCAATGTTCATTCATCAAGGTTGATACTCAACACGTACTCGACAATTTGAGGCGTTTGTCTGGTGTCGTGCACGTTGATGAATCAACGTGCAGACAAACGCCTCAAATTCTCTTTCTCACTTGTAGTGAATGGGCAATTCCATCGTTATGTGTGATCTTTTGAAACTGTTGAACATATATACTTTGTTTCTTCAACTCAAGTAAAGACTCTTACCTTGACTTCAGTGGTGAGCACTACGAGTAGATTGCAACTGACGTACAAAGACAGTTGACATCAGACAGTTGACATTTGAAGTTAAGACCAAACTTGCTTAAGATGTGGATTTGTTTCTTATTCAGCCGGATTATTCCAGCTAGACATGGTTTCAGTGGCAACTGCTTGAGGCTCTTTGTGTTAGTATGTGTTATATACTTATGAGATTTGAAGATCATTCGTCAAGTTAATTGAGAAGGTTTCCTTCGGTCTGTGACTTCGTAGCCTTAAATGCATGTGGTCAAGAAGAGTGTCATTTGTGATTCCTGAGTTCATATTCTTGATTTGGCGCATGTGAGGGAGCTGACAGTGCTGAATTGAGACCAACAATTTTGTCCTAAATTGATCTTCTTGTTCAACTTAGGTGATAAAACTGTGTGGTGAGAGTTTCTGGATTTCAATAGAAAGAGCTACAGAGTTTCTACTAAAACGAGTCGTGTTCATTTCATGTTCATAGCTGGGGTTTAGAACCAGCTCCGTTGCCTCATAGCACCCTTGATTCAATTCGAATTCAAGATAGAGCTGAACATAGTTCTAAAGTTGACAAAAATTAGCAACTTCTTATTTGCATTGAATCACAAGTGCATGCCTCTTTCAACTGAAATAGGCAATCGTTCACCTGAAATGTATGGAACGATTGCATTTGTTATATTTTTCTTTGAAAAAATATAACATGATCTGTTATCAAATTACAAATGTCACACCCACAATGACTTCATAAAGAATGATAGTATGTTATTATACTGAAATATGTATATACCAAGTTCAGAACTTCATACATGGTTTTATTTTTTATAATAATCTTTGAAACATGATAATACATATCAAGTCCAAGTACACAATTAATCTTGCATTAACGATATCCTAATTCAATTTAGTAAGGCAAGGTTGAATGAAAAGCACGACGAAAGTTTTATGGTACAATCTACCCTTGTTGAGAATCTTAGTCAAACATGTCGTTCTAGTGATTTGGTCGCAAGGGTGAGGCATACAAAGCACATACGAGCACTCTTGGATGGGGCATCATTTCAAAATGTAGAAGTATTTACCAAAGTGACTTCGCCCGCAAGATTCGTGAGTTTCATTGAATTCGGTATTCATCGTAGCTTTTTGTGGGCTCTATACAGAGGTTGAAGCATTCCAATGTTAGATTCAGTTAGGAGGGCATCTTAGATCCTTACATCGGATAGCTTGAAGCCCGGTCAGTTTAGACTTGCCTTTGGCAAGTATCGTCCAGAGCACGGCATTGATTTTGCTACCGAGCTGTGTATTCCAATGCCCAGTCTCTCTCTCTCTCTCTCTCACAGTGAGCAAGTATCCGCTGAACTTGTCATCTCCACTTTGGTACTATAATGCTAACCTCCTAAACCAGTTGAAGAGCGCTGTGGCTCGGAGGAATTCTCTGGATCTGACTCCCATAATCCTTGCTGTCCGTTCCCTCTTTTCTATAGAAAGTGGACTATAGAATGTGAGGTTTTCAGCAGTTGCACCAGGAAAGCTTTTGCAATTTCAATTTACAGTATGCAATACTGAGAATACAACAGTACTGGGACTGGCAGATGAGGGCTTACGATTGAAAGTTTTCGATTGGGATTTTTTTTCCTAATAATCTAGCTTTGATATGAATAATTTTAGTAAGAAAGGCAGGTATTTTAATGAAATCAAGAAATAGATAAATTCTTGAGATAGATCAAGAAAGATGAGTTTTTTTTAAAATATTTAGAAAGGTTATAGACATCAATAAGCGCAATGCACAAAAGTATCAAAGTGCTTCACAACTAAATTTGATAAAATTAAATATTGAACTTTCACGAAATGTTTGGAAAATCATGAAACTAATTGTATGAAGACTCTCCAACTTGATACATCATCCAAAGTCAATTTTTAAATAATGTGACAGAATTGATTTTTATCCTAATTTGAAACTGTATCATGTAGATATATTTGCATTTGATCCTCATTCACATACTTTAGTATGTTACTATCCTTCTTTTGCAAGTCTAGAGCGGTCAATTTACCAATGACGAGATCAGTTTTCTGTAATCAAGATCTATAGAATGACTTAATACTAAATAAAAAAAACATCAATATGTGTATATATATATATATACATTTGCATTCAATATTTTTCAACTCCCTTGCTTGAGTTACTGGAGTTAATATAGATAAGAAGAGTAAGACTAATACTATCCTTGGAAAAATTTCACTTCTTCATATTTAATATACATAAATCTATATCGATATGAAAATTCAAAGAATTCAGTAAGAAAAGTTTCCATGATGAAAAATATATTCTTGTCATCATTTTGTATTTTATATATGACGTAGTTCATTTAAACTACGGTTCTAGAAAAACTCTATCTGGGTGTTCCAAAGTGGCTTAACGGCACTGTGATCACTTGGAGATTTGAGTTTTGACATGTACAGCAATCTAAAGCCATCACTGCATCCGGACGGGAAGAGAACTTACACAAATGGTTATCACAACCAACAGCAGTTGTGGCAGAAGCTGCCCTACTCCAGGTACCACTTCCTGATGCTCACTGCTCGACCTAATCTACGGCTTCCCAATCTACAGCATCCGGGAGAGCACAGTCCATCGAGTTGAAGCGGGAGCAGCAACATGCACAGAGTTCCGGAGCTCGACGATTGCTCTTGAACACACAAGCACATGCAGGAGCAAATCAATTCAACATTGCTAGTAATGTTGAATTGATTTCTTCTGAATCTTTCTAGGCTTAAAAGAGCGCGAGTGCCGGAGGTGATCGAGTTAGTGACAGAGGATATGGAGTATTCAGACAAATCTGGTAACATTACCACCGGGAGTGCAAACTCCAACAACAGCGCCCCCAAATCAAATACGCGGACATCCTTCATGAAGGTTAGTCGACGGAGTGAAACTTCAGTAATACAGTTTGCATGCACATTACAAACAATACTACTGAACATCAATATTTGTGAAGCATATGATTTGATTTGTAGCTGGCATAATTCATCTGGATGCATCAGTGCTTCGTGGGCATTGTAGCGGTCTGAAACTCAAGCTTGAAAAGAATCTGATGCGAGCTTTTTGGGTCACCAACAGGATGAATCAGGTGCGAGACTAAGCATCGATCCTTTGGAGCCGTCCAGTCCAAGACAGAATGGAAATGGTCGCGCCTTTTCTTCTGATAATGTGTTATCTCCAACACACATCGAAGATGGCGGTTGAAGAACGAGAGACTGGAGAAGGTAACGCTAGATGGAAGGTAGAGGACGCTCAGCAAAAGATCCGTGAGTTGATACCAGAAATGCGATACCAGAGAGAACTGAATTTCAGTTTGATTGCTCAAGTGCGAAAGACACAGGATTCCAACATGGAGCTGGTCCTTGCTATCAAGGACGTTGAAGAATCATTGGAAGAAAGTAGGTGAGAAGTAGAAGCCCTCAAGACTGCTAAGCACAGGCTTGAAGAGGATCTCCAGCAGAAGGACTGAAAGCAGAAATTCAACTCGCTGCATGAGAAAATTGCAGAAAATGCCCCGCCATTATCAAAGGATGGTTACAAAGTGAGAATAAAAGGGCTTGAAATAATGGTGAAAAGTCTCACGCAAGATGTAGAGGACCTGGAAATAGAAGTCAAATAACTTACAAACTAGAATGTGGAGTTGCGTGAAAAATTAATATCCTTTTCCAGAGGAGGTCCAGATATTCGGCTCAATGACAGCTAATTTCAGTACCTAATTTCAGAATTGTGTCGTGAACAGCAACGTTTTAGTTAGGTTGTGGTTGCCAAATAAGTTCCATAAGTTACTCAGGTGTACCTCAAATAGGTATACCTTCAATTAGGTACTGAAATTAGCTGTCATTGAGCCGAATATCTGGACCTCCTCTGGTAGAGGATATTAATTTCTCACGCAACTCCACATTCTCATTTGTAAATTCTTTGAATTCTGTTTCCAGGTCCTCTACGTCTTGCTTGAGACTCTCCATCATTATTTCAAGCCCTTTTATTCTCACTTCGTAACCATATTTTGATAATGGCAGGGCATTTTCTGCAATTTTCTCATGCAGCGAGCTGAACT